TGGGCTCCCCCGCCGGGGCCGAGCTGCCTGGCCGTCAGGACCCGCTTGAGGAGCGGCTGCAAAGCTTCGTTTGCTCGTCTCGCTGGCAGAGAAGATGAGAGGCAGAGCATTTCACGCCTGCTCACGTGGAGCCGTGCAACTTGTCTAAACTCACGTTTCTTGCCTGCTTCTTGGGGCTGTCCCGCATGCGCAGGGACATGATTTGCTTCGGACTATAGGGAGATGAAAAGCAGAAGCACCCTTGGTCACATGTGGTTGTGGGGGCGGAAAGAGCGCCCGGCACCCTGCTAGCCCTCCCGCTTTGCCTTACGCAGCTAAATGGGGCCAAACTCCTGGAGCCTGGCAAGGCGCAGGGCTGAGTCCTGCTGGGGCTGGCATCAGCTTGCCCGGCTGGCAGCACCTGCGGTGGTGGTGATGCCAGCCAGCCGGAGCTGGCGCTGGCCATGGTGGCCGGTCGGGCTGGAGACCCTCAAGCTCCTTTCACAGCCATGCTGCTGCAGATGCTGCACAAGAGCACTTGTTTGACTGAACTTTCCCCAGAGCAGCCCCGTTTCGGCTCTCCAGTGACCTGTGCCAGCGGGTGGGAAAGGGCCCGTGGCGGTGGCTGGACATGTGGAAAGCCATGGGCAATGGAAACCCTTTTCTCCCAGAGCTTGGGGGTGGGTTGCGATGATGCAAAGCTGCAGGTGTTGAGAGGCTCGGGGCCCAAAAACGCTACCAGGCAGCAGGAGCAAGCAGAGTGGCTTCTGGGGCTGTTGGCACGGTGATGGGCGCTGCACTGACAAGGGTGGTGGTGGCATCGGGCAGAAAATTGGGCAGCGCAAAGGAGCTTGCCAAGGGTTTGCATACCCTGAGATGGGACACGCGGCCCTTCTTCTTCCCCGGGCGGGCCCCTGTCCTCACAGTGAGGGGGGACAGCGCAAAACTTTAGGGAGGAAAAGAGGTCACCTCGGGGAGGTGCAAACGTTAGTGGTTTCACCTGCGGGCCAGTGTCCCGTGCTGCCTGCACGCGTGCAGCTGCGGAGTCGGTCCCTGCTGAGCATCCTCCACCCTCCACATCCAACCCTGCCTGCGGGAAGCGGTGCTGAGCTTGGCGTGAAAGGCCTTCCAGGGCAGGGCCTGGGGAAGGGAGAAAAATAACAAGCTGTTCCTGTATCTATTTCAGTCTCCATGGCAACGATGATAAAAAGTTCTCTTTTTTTCCTCAGTTTTGGAACACCGCTCCCTCTGCTGCGTCCAGCCCTTGCCTGCGGCACCGAGCTCGGATGAGACGTGGGGCCACGGGGGGGGGGGAGGGGACACAAGGGGTCCCGCGGCTGGAGGCATCACTGCCCCGTACAGACCGCCAGCCCCAACCTGCTGCCGTGTGTGATGCAGTGCCAGCACCAGGGCCCGTCCCTTGCGCTGAACACCGCAATTGGTGGCAGCAAGACAGCGCAAAATTCAGCGCGCAGCACTGAGCTGCAGGCGTGAAGGCTGCTGCCTGCGGGGAGAGGGTGGAGGATTGGGAAATACCCAGACAGGAACAGCCTGGAGGCTCATGGCATTTATCAGGCCTCATGGCATTTAGGAGAGACGGGGAGAAAGCATCTTGATATCTTTTCCTTTTACCGTGAGCCCCAGCACCTTTGCACCAAGCTTTTTCCACCCTGAGGTCGCCATGTTGCTGCTGAGCAGCCCTGCAGAAGGGAAGGGGTGTTTTGGGCAGCATATTGTGAGAAAACGGAAAAGAAAAGGGGAACACGTGGGGTTTGGCAATGATCAGGCTCACGGTCAGACCTTGGGCAAGGCTTCAGGGGAGGCTGTAGCCACGGCTGCTCGGAGCGGCAGGTCTGGCAGATGCCTGCCTGAAACAGCCTTTCCAAGGAGTCCTGTTTAATGCAGTCCCTGAGGTGATTCCTTATCCTTTCCAGGTCCTTTTCTTGCACGATGTGCCTTGGGCTGCTCACGCTTCCCAAAGGGAACGTTTCGGGGCAGCCCTTGGCCGTGGGGGTAAAGCCAGGACGCACCACACTGGCAGCGGGCAATGCTGTGAGGCCAGGGCAGAGGAGAGCTGCCCGACACGGGCGCTGCAGTCCCCCCCGTGCAGGGATCAGCTGCAATTGCACCCGCGGGCACTGACGCTCCCCTAACACATCCCAGGCCGAACATCACACCGCCAGCCAGGCAGCTCGCCGGAAACACAGTACCCTGTGGGGGTTAATGAGAAAAAGCAGAAGTTAATGTGAAATAACTCCCTGCGCCCCCTCTCCCCCCTTAAGGCAAGCTCTAAGCAGACCACACAAATACCCAGTGGAGTCAAACACAGCATTTTTTACCTACATGATTGCAGGAAGCTGAACTTATTTTTGCATGGAGGGTCTTGATAAAGGTCGAGCTGCTGCAGGACAGGATCCGCTAACTGAAAAGGGAGGTCACAGGGCAAGGAGAGACGGGGAGAAGGCAGAGACGAGTGGAGCTGACGAAGAGGAGGGTGAAGCACCGATGCATGTGGCCAGTGGAGAGGGGGTCCAAACAGGCCAGTTCAGACCACAAAGAGTTTGTAAAGGCGCAGAGATCCTAGCTCTGCCTGCTTTCATTGCTGCTGCTGGTGTCAAGGGCATTTCTCCTTCAAAAGCATATACAAGAGGCTAAGTAAGAAAGCAAAGTGTTCATTTTTGTTTGGCCTTCTGGGTGGGTTTTTTTTCCACTCTTGGGAAAAACCAGTAACACGCCCCGCAACTGTTTCCTTCTCCCTTCAACGTTTCTGGTCTTGATGCGTGTCAGCGCGACGCGCGGCGTTAGCGGGCCTTTCAGCCCTTCCTTGCAGCCAGGGCATCGGCTGGAGAGCCTGAGTGCCCCGAGTGTGGTCACCCTCTGGGGACAGCCCCATCTTCTAAGGAGTTTGGGATCTCTGGTGCAAGCGGGGTCTGCTGAGTGGCTCCTCCTCGAGCTTGTCCTTGGGAATGCTTGGAATGAAAACTCTGAGGCTCTTCATATCCCCAAGGAGCACAAAACCGTTAATGTCTCGTTAAGTTATGCTCGTTAAGTTCCTCCTCTGGGTACCTCCTGCCCTGCAGGGAAAGGGAAAAGGATGTGGCTTGCACAAATGAGGGATGGCTGCAGGAAAACAGGAATTTAAGACAATAACCTGGGGAACGTGGGGTTTTGTTCTGGGTGCGAAGTACCGATTCCCCATCAGCACAGGCCATGGACACAAAGGAGACGGGGGACTGGCCTTAAACTCTCTGGCCCTTGGCAAACACAACTTCACTTTAAATTATTGGACAATCCTGGGGTGGGGAATTGTTAGGAAACAGCTGATTGTGTGGCACATGCACAGCAAAGGCAAAATAGAGGGTGTTGTGGAAAGGTGAGAATAGACGCTGGGAAATAGGTGTTTATTATTGACGTGAGAGGAAAGCCACAGGCTCTGAGTTGGCCAGCTGGATTTTAAGTTGCAAATTCAGTCAGTTGGGCGAGGAGGCTGGAAGGGAAGAGCAGAGCCTGATGCTACCTCCTTCGCTGGTGGCACTGAACTAGTGTAGAGGCCGCCCCAGCACCAAACCAAAGCTTGACCCCTTATGAGGAGGCAAGCGGGGAAATTTTGTCCCCCAGATCCCCATAGCTGCCTCGAAAGACCATCCAGCCCCCAGCAGGAAATTCCACCAGTCCCTGGCAGCACGGACAGGCTTTGCTCTGCAGTGGACGCAGGCCAGGCCGGCAGCGTGGCTGTCCCGTGCCTGTCCCCTGCACGCACCACGTCCCCTTGGGCACGCCACGAGTCTGTCCACTCCGTCCCCTCCAGACACACGGTGCGGCTGTCCTGTGTCTGTCCCGTGTCTGTGCCCTGCACACGCCCTGTCTCTGTCCCGTGTCCGTCTCCATCCGTCCCTCTGCACAGGCCGTGCCTGTCCTGTGTCTGTCCCCTGCCCTTCCCCCTCGACACGCCTTTTCCACCTCGCTCCGTCCCCTCTGGCCTGCCCCGCCCCACGCGACCCCGGCCGCGCGGAGAG